TCAGTTGGTCATTTTAAACTACGCGTGAAATTTTATAGAAGTTACATAAAAAACTGCTGAATCTAACTTAAAATTAACAATACTTCTTATAAAACAATTAAAAAGCAAATACCTAAAACTTATATTAAGGTCTCGTAAACTAAATAACAGTGCTCACAACCTATAAAACTAACAACGTAAGAAAATACTTTGTTATGCATTTTCAAACATTGCCGTATATCTCCTGATACTAACGTGGTAAGAATCAAGGCGATGACTGGTTATACACTTTTTCATTCCATTTTCAAATATTTTTGTTAAAAAATTTTTAGCCTCACTTGTTTTCGAAATATCGGTGATAGACCTTTAACCGCGGACCTTTAAACCTCGCTCTAACCTATTACAAAAATTTGGATACAAATATGAAAATATTTATTAATAACAGTTATATGTTTATACAACAAATTTTGAACGTACAATATAGTTTAAAAATAAAGAAACAAATTAATATAGATAGCACGTATGTTTTTGATGTCAAACGTTTCTGTATGACTTAAAACGTCGAGATAAACTAAAATTTACTAAAATCGTTTTTAGCGTAAACAGTATCTTTGGAAAGTTAAAAGAATAGCTGTGCAATTATTTAATATTTTAAAGAAAATCGATTAACAAACAAGAAAAAATATTTTTTATTCTGATATATAATCTACAACTGCAGAAACTTATTTATATATTCACAATATCAAATCAGATGACAAAACAAGATAATTTAACAACAAATTCTGACTATAATCAAATTTCCATTTACGCATTTATATAAAGTTAATGTCATATGTCGTTTGCATGTAAAGTACCATCGACCATACGCGTATCTTCAATGAAATCAACATGTTATTTTAGACGTTTTCTGCTTGAACATGAATTATGAATGTGAAATACTCTATCAATAACAAATGGATCAATTATATTATAATCAGAGTACCTATACTAAACTAATATTTATGTAGATATCAAACAAATAATTGTACTGAAGGGAAGCAATTACTAATGAAGTATCAAACAAATGTAATTGTAATTCTCATATATTGACTACTTGAGCTGCAATTAACATATATTGAAATAAATATTAAATTATAATAATTAAATACTATAAACTGAAATTTAAATTTTTGCATCAGAATAGGTATCTTTTTGATAAATAAACTAGTTGGTATTGGTATTTTGCCTTGAGGCAAGTTACATGAACTTCCCGATATGTGTAAATAATCGACGAAATCAACAAAAACCAAATTAATTTATGAGTGATTAAAAGTATTCCGACTTAATTAAAAACGAACGAACACGTTAACTAGGAGTATTTTCTAAAAGCAAATATTCAAAAATTAATAATTTTTAATTGAACCAGTTTCCGCAGAACTTTAATGATTTTGGTATGTTCATTACGACCAAGTACTCTATCGTTATACCAAGTAAATTGTCTAATTTTAATTTTAACAAACGTCAAAAAAAATTCCCATTTTCTCAAATTTTGATGAATTTTTAAAATTAAACTACTTGTCGTAAGGCCGTAATATTTCAGTAAGTTCTATATGACCATGATATATATCGCCAAAAAAAGTTTCATAAAAAACGCGCTATTTTTTTTTCAACAGTTAATTACAAAAAAACGGCTCGGTAGATTTTAACCTAAAACTGATCATTATCATTCCCAACTAATATCCCCTGATCAGTTTGATTTTCTAAAATCGATTCGGTAGTATGAGCTTAAATGTGGACGAAAAATTTAACATTGTTTTCCAAATTACAAAGAAACGGCTCGGCCGATCGTCGCACAAACGATAATCCTCATCGAGATACATCAAATTGCTTTTAAATTTTTGAAATCGGTCCAGCCGTTTTTGAGAAAACGTCAGATTATGGCAAAAAATATGTTAAAGCACACGCACATGCACACACATACTTTTCTGAATTTGGTCTCATTCGAATCAGAATGGCTTGAAACGTCGAGAAAACATAAAATTAGCGAATCGGATTTTTTTATGAAAACAAACTTCTCCTTCGGGAAGTTAATACAATTTGAAAATAATTATGCATATTTTGCTATCAAAAATTTAGTCTAATGTATCAAATTATCGATCTGCATTTCTGTGTTCATCAGTTAGACTGCGACGCAGCGCTTATGCGCTTATATATTTGATCTCGATTGCTTGAAAAAAAAAATTCAAATGTTCAAAATAAAAAAAAATTCAAATGTTTCAGGAAAGTTTTTTTCTCAAAAATTTGATATTTTCAAATCTTCGAAAATTTTATTACAAAATTGTAATTTTTGATACAAAAAGTTTCAGTAATTTGCCCCAAGACACGTTGCCATACACCACTAGTTTTCAATTAACTTAAAATGATTTAACAAGTAAAAAAAATTAAATCATGTTGTTTTGAAAACATATATCTATAAAATATTTTTATGCATTCCACATATTAATTTTAATTTTCCTATCCATCAGAATTGGTAGTTTCAGTATCTTACAACTTTCATATATATTATAGCTTGACGTGCAGCACTATCGAGCGTTCGCCGTCCTAACCGAATTGATTCAGGAATAACGACCATAATGGGTTATTATTAATTCAGTATCGGAATAAGTTCAATAAACTGAAAGGGATATAAAATCCAGAAGGAAGACGTCATTCTGATGACTTAAATTGATGAAGAAGTTGACGGACAAGGCCTTTACTATACGTACTGATAAGCCAAGTTTAAAAGGAAATACATAAAAATAAGACTATATAATAAGAGTATATATTTTTGTATATATTTTTGCATAAATGTATAAACGCAAATTTATATAGGATAGAATGGGATTTGAAGGTCCGCTGGTTAAAAGGTCCACCACCATTACCTTTAAAACAAGTATAATTAACTTCCCGTAGGGCAAGTTATAGTAATCGCAAAAAAATCGAAAATGAAATTTTTATATATCTTTACGTTTCAGAGGTTTCTGAATATTTTGGCATACCTTAGAAAAAATGGATGTATGTGTGTGTGTGTGTGTGTGTGTGTGTGTGTGTGTGTGTGTATGTATGTGCGGATACAAATTTTCGTCGACGATTTCGGGAACACCGATCAACCGATTTGAATAATTCAAAAAACATTCGATCCGTATTGATAAGGAGACGTGCTGATTAGTTTTTGGCAAAGGCAGGTCAAGCCGTTCCGAAGATACGGGGCAAAAAGTTCCGAAAACGGTAACTCAGTTTTTAAGAGAACGGAGCGTCCGATTTTAATAATTCAAAAAACATTTCACTTGTATTGACAAGATGAAGAATCTATAAAATTTTCATAAAGGTAGGTCTAGCGGTTTCGGAGATATAGAGGAAAAAGTAAAAAAATGAGCCATTTGGCGGTCAAAAATGATCATTAGACATATGCACATCAAATTATCAGACATTTTATAGAGATTTTAACAATAAGTATACATTTTGTTAACATTCCTATCGGTTCCGTACCAATGCTTATGCGTTAGACAGCGACGCGGCGCTTTATATTTTGTCCCTATGTAGTTAAAGCAGTACGATTGCTTTGAAAAAAAAGTTCAGATCTTCCACAATATGTCAAAATAAAGAAAAAAAAATTTTTTTTCAAAAAAAAAAAATTTTTTTTTTTCAAAAAAAAAACTAATTTTTTGTCCAATTTATAGTTTCTCAAAAATCTTATTTTTTCAAAGTAATTTTTTTTCAAAAATGTTAATCGTTTTAAAAAAAAATAATAATTTTTGGTACGGGAAGTTCCAGCAATTTGCCTTAAGGCACGATGCCCTAATTGCCTTAAGACAGAATTCCACTTACAGCTAGTTTTTTTTAATTACACTATTTTGAAGTAGGAGGCAAAAGGTGAGTAATATGCTATCACCTTAATTTTTACGAGAAAAAAAACTAGGTATCAACATTCGTAACAAAAGTTTTTTTTTGGTTTGAAGTTCTTATTTAGTTTATGGTACCTGAATGAAATTTTTATGTATATGTTATTTATTTGTTTTATAAGATGCACTCGTATCGTTATTTTTAATGTAGATTCAACTTTTTTTTATTAGTTAATCAAACACTGCTGATAAATATTTCTGACAAAATACCAGATTAAGATTATGTACAGTGTTACTTTTGACAGTATCTCTGTCAAAAATGTGCCAATAAAAATTATATTTCATATTGGTTGCATAAAGTATCTGTTATTTTTTTAATTTAATAGCAATCTTTCTCACGCTGTCAAATATTATATACCTGTAAAGTAGCTGAATGTACTGTGTATAGTTTGCTATGAACAATAAAACATTTTTATTTATTTTATTATTTTCTTTAATAAGAAAAAAAATGTATCAGCTTACCACCTGAGTTTCCATTTATACTTTGCATAACAAATATTATAAAAACAGTAAAAAAAACATTTCTATAAATACGAATTAATTGTGAATTTTACTGAACATAGTTTAATAATTGTTTGTTTGGTACGCATAATGTACTGTTATGTAGTTTATATTGTTTGGACTGTATAATTACTATAAACAAATTGGAGCTTTGTGCCCCTACCCTATATATCCAAAGCTTTGTTCTTCTTGTTTATTTGCTAAAATTTGTCATCTTTTTGATGGCCGAAAGGTAGAATGTAACTAGTTAGGAATTGTAAAAACATTTAGTAGTTTTTCATTGAATTTTTTGTTCGGAACTCAACAGCAATATATATAAGCAACCTCATACCGGGATGCCAAAACAAAAAGCTCAACAACGAAATAATCTTCAACTCAACTGAAATAATCTTCATTGTGTTGCTCGAGTTCGAGATCAACCAATTGTCACTCCATATCTTTGTACCCAATTGGGTTGGAACAATATATTTGATGCAGTGCCTTGCATCAAAATATATTATTATAAGTTTCGCTATAATGTTAGCTCCATCATCATTGCTAAACCCTCAGAATGAAAAGCAATATGAAATCTTATTCATAATTAGATTAAATTAAACTAACCTGTCTTCCATACGGCATCTATTGTCACGAACTTTGCAGCTGCCTTTAAAATCTTCGAAAAGTCGTATGCACTTTTTCTCGAGTTGGCAGACGGACAAAGCGTGGTTGCATGTTGGAAGAGCGTCCACTGGATATGGATCTTTCTCTGAAATACACAAGAACAAAAAGATAAATGATATCCTTTTGAATATTTCAATAATACAGATATGTAACGTAAACGAAAATTGTTTTGTTTCATTTCACACGAAAAGCTCATGGTGTACCCTTATATAGCAAGGTTGCTCAAGTCGCACTACTTACGTCGTACCCTGGCTTTATTTTGTTCTATTTCTAAAATTTCAACATTTGTTACCGCTAAATGAATAGTTTTACTTAGATGAAAGGACTCGCCCAAAGATAACCGGTTATAATCGATGAGACTTGATTCAGAGGTCCAGAGTTCGAAACCCGCTTCGAGTAGCCTGTTGTCAAACAGCACTGACAACAATTTTACTTGGAAATATAGATTTCAATATGTTTCCAAATGAAAATAGCCCTTATCCGGCATTGCTGCACAAATAAAAAGTCAGCCCTATTAGATAAATTCTAATAATAAATCACCAAATATGGGTTAACATCTATAAATACAAAATAAGGAGAAGTTTCTGCCTAACAGGCTCATAGGATGTTAGGTTCTGATTGCTAAGACATGAGAATAAAAAAACTTAGATAAAAAACAAACAATTACAATTAAAAGGTTGAGCATTGTGAAACAGAGATATTTCAAAACTAAGCTTTTCGTAGAGTCCTGCTAATATTTTTGGCTCTATAGCAAGCCTATAATGGCTATAGTGTAAATCTGCCATTTTTCCTTACTAATATCGATTTACTATACATCATAATATTACTTACTATTCCTTACTAATATTACTTACATCATAATTATCTAGGTACATTTAAATGGTAGAATTTGTGTTGGTTATGTCATTAGTTTTAATTTTAAACTGCGAAGACTTTGTAACATAGGTCATATCTGTGCCAAATTGTCAAATTTCTTACTTGTATAAGTTTAATCAAGTGCTTTTTATGGAGTTTCCTCTTGAATACGAAAAAATAATGGGTAAACAGAGATGTTTTATCTAATTGGAGAATACCAAGTGGGTGTGACCAATAACGACTGTAATTTGTGAACAGTTCCATCTCCATTTTGAGAACCAAGAGACCTAATAGTCGTTTTGATTTTTAGAGAAGGTGAGACTAATAATAAGGCAATTTTGCGACTTAACTGTACCGACAGCATATTTGAACAAAAAAACGTTTTAATTTAATAGAAAATTAATAACTTCAGTAATTGATAATTATAAGCTGTTATAACCCGATTCGTTCATAACGTGAATTATAGAAGGAGTTCGTAATCCAACGAAATTCTGCCAAACTCTGCTAAAATAGGAATTTTTGCATGCGCCGATAGGACCAGATATAATTAGTTATTGACTTATCGTATATTATTGTATTATTAACTTCCCGTAGGGCAAGTTATAGTAATCGCAAAAAAATCGAAAATGAAAATTTTTATATATCTTTACGTTTCAAAGGTTTCTGAACATTTTGGCATACTTTAGAAAAAATGGATGTATGTGTGTGTGTGTGTGTATGTGTGTGTATGTATGTACGTGTGTGTATGTATATGCGGATACAAATTTTCGTCGACGATTTCGGGAACACGGATCAACCGATTTGAATAATTAAAAAAACATTCGATTGGTATTGATAAGGAGACGTGTTGATTAGTTTTCGGCAAAGGCAGGTCTAGCCGTTCCGAAGATACGGGGCAAAAAGTGCTGAAAACGGTCTCTCAGTTTTTAAGAGAACGGAGCGTCCGATTTCAATAATTCAAAAAACATTTCACTTGTATTGACAAGATGAAGAATCGATAAAATTTTAATAGCGGCGCTTACGCGCTTTATATTTTGTCTCTATGCAGTTAAAGCAGTACGATTGCTTTGAAAAAAAGTTTAGATCTTCCACAATATGTCAAAATAAAGAAACATTTTTTTTTCAAAAAAAAAAAAACAAAAAAAAAATTTAAAAAAAAATTTATTTAAAAAAATTTTTTTTTTTCAAAAAAAAGTAATTTTTTGTCCAATTTATAGTTTCTCACAAATCTTATTTTTTTAAAGTAATTTTTTTTTTCAAAAATGTTAATCGTTTTTAAAAAAATAATAATTTTTGGTACGGGAAGTTCCAGCAATTTGCCTTAAGGCACGATACCTTAATTGCCTTAAGACAGAATTCCACTTACAGCTAGTTATATATTATTTTTAGATTGTTTTATTTTTGGACACAAGCGACTTCCCATTATATTCTCAACCTAACAAACGTTGGCCTGTAAATTAGTTGGATTGAATTTTCAAGAAATCCAGTTTTTTAGAAAAAAGCATTGAAGATTAAAGGACTGTATATAGACATGATGCATTATAATATAAGAGATTATTTGATACTTCGAAATAGTGCAATGAAAGGAATCAGATTCTATTATTGCTATCCTGCATAAAGAGTAGTCTAATAAATTTATATTTATATAATTTTATTAGACAAGGATTGTGCTTCAACTAAATGTATATACAATAAACGCATTTTCTTTTAATTTTATTGCACTAACTATTATACAATTATTTTTTAGGAAGTACAATATTATCCAATTACACTTTGTTACCACCTTTATCAAACAAATAGGTTTTAACCGCAAAATTCAATTCAAAATAAAAATATGAAAATATTTTGACAATCTAAAAAAACTCAGGAAAAAATAAATAGTAATTAGAATTATTACCTTAATTTGTTACGAACGTAAAGTACAAGAGATCTTGAAGAAAACCATAATCTGACTTTATGATATTAAAGATTACGACGCAGAATTTAATGGTGCGTTTTATAATCAAAACTTATTAATGGGAGTAAGATAAATTACATAAATATTTATTCTCGTTAGCATTTACATAAAAATCCGATATCTAAAGTCTGTCTTCAAAATACCGCATATAAAGATAAACGTATATAATTTCACATTGTTATGCTAAATAGTTATATTCAGAATTAAAAACTCATACTTTCTTTTAATTGATGTGTATATACAAATGATCATTTTTAACCATGTTTTGTGAAAAATAGATTTTTGGCGTCAACCCCTACCTTTCCCAATTTCAATGGTATTTATGCACTGTAATAACAACCCACTTTTTCTTAATTGTTTTTTATATTTTTATTTTTTCCATATAATTATAATTTGACTACGCATTTTAGTAGTCAGTATATAGTTGTAAGATGTTAAAATGTTGCTAGCGATAGATTTGAGGTTTAGAAATTTCTCTAAATATGGTACAAGTTTTTTTTATGAAAAAATAAACATTTAAACAATGAACATATTTTATATGTTATCGATCAATAGTTCTTCATACGTACAGATAAAAATCAAATCGTACTTCTTGATATTGCAATAACTTCTAAATAAAACAACACATTTTTCGGTTATACCAAGATGGACATCCATGTCAGAAGAGCAAAGTGACTCGTCTCAACCGTATTCGTCACAAATTGGATACTAATATATTTTTCAGCAGAAGGAACATTTGAGTAGTTTGCATCGGAATTTCTTACTTATTTCAGATCCACTACGCAACCCGCAATCTCGAAATAAAATAGATGTTTCAGCAAGACGAAACTTCTGTTCGGGGACACTCTAATCTTACATCGCTTTATTGTATAAACTCTGACCGCAAAATAGTTTGTTTTTATAGTAAAGTATAAGTTGATACATATTTGATTTCCAGATTTGCATTTGAGTTCAGAAAATTATTTCAATAGAAAATTTAGTTTATTCGGAATGCTTGAACTTTTTATATAAATCATCATGAATCCAGAGTATAAAAAATAAATAATTTATTCAAAAAACAAATCTTAAAAGAAGCACATCTTTGATTTTGAGCAATCATGTTGTGAAAACCAAACCAATTATATCACAATAAGTAACACATGTCACTATTAACTATCTGACTATGTTCACTAAAACTTCCAACTAAAATTCATCATTGTAATAATGTGTTTTTTTTTTTCAAATATTTGTCACCTGGTTCTTTTTACCCCATAGATGGTGTAAAATGAGACGGTCAGGGGGCAAACAGGTCTAATGACTTGTTTTTAATTTTATTAAAAACCAATTATTATAATTATTATTCAATCAATGCAAAATATAAATTTCATTAGTACAGTTTTTGCAGAGTATACTGTATACAAACTTAATCTAGTATTTTGACAGAAATATTTATCAGCAGAGTTAAAATAACTATTTAATTTATTTCTTGTAAAATTGCATTTTTAACTTAATTAACTTCCTGTAGGGTAAATTATAGTAATTGTCCAAAAATTGTGATTTTTTTTGCATATTTTCACGTTTTGAAGGTTTTTGAACATTTTGGCAAACCTCAGGAAAAATGAATGTGTGCGTGTGTATGTATGGATACAAATTTTTCGTCCAGGTTTAGGCCATTTAGGAGATATCGAGCAAAGAGTGCAGAAAAAAAAAATCGAGTTTTTGAGATCCGATTCGAGAGATCCAGAAAACATTCAATTCGTAATTATGGGGAGAAGTAGTGATTAGTTTTTGACAAAGACAAGTCTAGCCATTTCGGATAAACGAAACTAAATCGGCAAGAAATGGCAGTTTTTGAGAGAACTAAGCATCCGATTTGAATGATTCAAAAAACTTTTTGCTTGTGTTGATGAAACTATTGCTTTTGCAAAAGATAAATAAAACTTCAAAAAATTAATTTTATTTAAATTTGAACTTAGCAATTCAATTTATATAATTCTTATAAATATTAGACAATATCCGGTTAATTAAGTTTTGTTTATCTGGGAAGTTCCAGCAGTTTTCTTTGAGGCACAATACTATAAAATTCCAGTTTACCTTTTTTTATTTACTATTTTTTATTGTTTACACCTTTGCCAGGGTAAAGGTCCAGTTAGTCCTTTTTACCCTACTCTCGTGCAAGCTTTGATAGAGATTGTATAAAAAAATTTGTTTTAAATTTAATTTGAAATTAACAATGCACATTATAAACAGTATGAATATCGTGTATTCGAAAATTATATGAAGGTCCCGTGAAC